TTCAGTGCTTCGCGGATCAAGCGCACATTTGGAGGTTACGTGTGGTGGCCCGAATTTTGTTTACTTTAAATTTGTTTATTTTTTTGCTGGGCTAACACTGCCGTATTAAGTAAACAATGCATTCATAGAAATTTTTTCCTCACTACAGTGATTGAGCATTTGCCACAGGAGCTCCGTGACCGCTTTACAGAGATGCGCGAATTGGATTTAACTGTGCAAAGTAAATTGCTGCTGGTCCTAATATACATACGTATACGCTTAAATAATTCTATATAATTCGCTTGTTTCCAGATAGCATGGACTCATTGGAGAAAAAGACACGGACATTTTTTCAACAATGTAAACGCGGTGAGTTACAAAATGAAACTGCCGATTCGGATTTTCAAAATCTTCGCAAAGAGTACTACAAAGTGCTGGAGGATGCCGATGAAAAAGTAAACATTGCCACACAAATACATGAGCTGGTCGAGCGTTACCTGCGCCGTTTGGACAGCGAACTCTTCAAGTTCAAATGTGAATTAGAAGCTGATAATAATGGTATCACAGAAATATTAGAAAAACGTTCATTAGAGTTAGATGGGGGTTCAAGTGCAGCAACAGCTTTGATAAATGTAATTGGTGTTACACAGAAAGAAAACAGATATTACGGCTCAATAGGTGTACCGGCAACTACAAATAGTCATAGTATATTAAGCGTACCAGGTGCCACCATGGGCGGGTTATCACTCCCGGCAACGCCATTGGCAACACCGAAAGATAATCGCTATCGCACACCTAAACCAGAGAAACGACGAGACAGTACTACAAATATTTCCGGTATACCAGAAAAACGTCCAAACATTAATAATACCATAACGTCAGCTAATCCTTCGGTTGCTGTTGTGCGTCCCATAACGCCTGGAATAGGTACACATGCTGTGCTTAATTCCGCCACGACTGCAGTTACCGCAGCAGGCAACCCTTCTGCAGTTACTTACAATTTACAACAATTAGGAGGATCTGCTTCGAGTGCAATCGCTGCTGCGGCCAGTCAAGCCATAGTTGCAACTCAACAAATGCCGCAAGGCCGGCGCACTGCAAGTCTTAAAGCCAGCTATGAGGCTATACATGGTGCTGGCGGCGGCCCACCCGAGTTTTGGATAAGTCGTGATATCGCAAACGCTGCGACGGCTGCTGCACAAACAGTACTCCCGACCCCTAGCCTAGAAAAGAAACAGAAAAAGTATGTCAAACAACTATTTTTGAGTACTAATTTATTTGTGTGTTTTGTAGGAAAATAAATACCAGCAGTATTACTCACGCCAACACTACTATCAGTGGCAGCGCACCGTCATCAGCCATTTCATTAGCATCATCTTCGTCTTCTGTCAGTGTAGACTCAGTAGATATGCTACCGTCTTCCTCTAATTTGTCTACAGTTGGAAATCTTAGCGTCACGTCTATTGGTCTAACAGCTATTGGAGGAGGTGGTGCTTCCACTTCAGCTGCTGCAGCAAATCGCGCCAGCTCAGTCTCGTCTTCGATCTCATCAACCACCCTTGCTCCTACCTCAAATATTACCATCAATGAAAATGGGTTGGTGGTGGAGCAAACACCTGAGGGAGAATGGTCCTATGATCCGAATGAACCACGTTACTGTACTTGTAATCAGGTCTCGTATGGAGACATGGTCGCTTGTGACAACGATGCTTGTCCTTACGAATGGTTTCATTATCCCTGTGTGGGTATTACACAACCGCCAAAAGGCAAGTGGTATTGTCCGAAATGTACAGCGTCTATGCGTCGTCGTGGGAACAGGAAAAACTAGTACAAATCCAAATTTTAAAACTTTCCAGACCATTAAAGTTTCAGCAGCCTTATTTAAGTTATTAAACAAACCTCTATCCGCGTTGTGTATTTCTCAACATTTATCTTTGAATGGATTTGAATAAACCTAGGGCTATAAAACATTCGCTGCTTTATTGCTCAATAAATAGCTATCCTAAAACCTCCCCTTAATGACTTAAAACTTTTTTTATTTGTTATCGTGGGTTACATGTGATGTGTATGTTAGATCTGTTTAACATATCATATACATGTAAAAAAATACGCATTTTGGTGGGGCGAAAGCATCAATTCAAAACGGTATATAATCCAAATTTTATTAGTTGCGCAAAAGCCTCATATATGCTTCGACCCTCCGTGAATCCTATTGTGAAGAAAGCAGTTAAATATACGGGTGAACATATCAGCTGGTCAAGCATAATTTTTAGCATTGTTGTCTTCACATTCACTGCTGGCATACGTTTGAAAAGACATAATAAACGGATTCAAATTATTAAAGATCTGAAATCTTCGATTGAAATCGGAAAAAAAAATGTTACGAATTGGAGTCCGACGTCATCTGAAGGATTTTATTTGCGTGGAAAAGGACGTATGGCTAGGATATGTTATTTTGTTGATGCAGATTTTTGGTACTGGATTTGCGAGCAATTTCATTATCTTTTATTGGATACTCATACTAATGTACATACTATACAAAATAACTATATCTATTCACTGAGAATTTTTACAGCACACGGTATAAGTATACCTATCCCTCATTAGCTTTTATAGTTAAA